GCCCGCTCACTAGCACGATGGTGCGTTTCGGCCGCTGCCTGCACTTGTTGCCCATCCTCAGACGCTGCGTGGTAAGTAAACCGCCCGAACAGGCCGTGACCCGACAGTTTTATCGCTGTGGGTCAAACGACCCGATTCTATCCCGATATTGCCTATAAAACCGGCCAACTAAGCGCCTCTCACCGTCCAAACGATGGTAAGCACGAGAGCGGCACGGATTGGTCGAATCTCATTCGGGTTTTGTCGGTTACAGACGAAGCAGACCGAGCAGCCGGACAGTCAAGATGGCGGGCCGACGTTTCGGAAGATCGACGCTGTGAGCAGCTGCCCGAAACTGGGCGAAAATGTGTCGGCGCGCCTCAGTTGCGTGTCGAAGAGCCAGATGAAAGGTAATACGAACGAAAAGTCCAACCCTAGAAAAAAACCGAAAACATTCCCAAAGAGTTTCGGGAGGCCTTCCGGCTGTTCGACAAGGACGGCGATGGCAGCATCACCAAAGAAGAGTTGGGGCGAGTGATGCGCTCGCTCGGCCAGTTCGCTCGCACCGAGGAGCTGCAGCAAATGCTCCAAGAAGTCGACGTTGATGGTAAGTGGCCGATTGACCGCCCCCCGTAGCTTGCAGGCTCCCATTAATCCTCAAAATCGGTTTGCGACTTTAACCCGATTTTGCTCGCTGATCCTTTGATGCTGCCGCGCCCGATTTAAGGGGCTTTTGTAGCTCCATCGCCCCTCTGTCCAGATCGGGCATCGCCAGCTCGATCGATCGATCCGTTGAATTTTGGGGAATTTTTGCTTCCATCCAAACCCGAAAACTTCGACAGTTCTCGACGGTTTTTGCGCTTCATTGGGCTGGCTGACGTCGGAAACTCCCAGTTTGGCCTTGCGGCGTCCCCAAATCGCTAACCACATCTACTGGCTGGGTTTCGGCCCAACCAGAACGCCTCCATCATCAGGTTGTGATTTTTGGGAGGCGTTCTCGTTGCTGGCTGCCGCAACTCCGCAACTTGGCGATTGCATGGGGTTAAATGGGAACTTTTTTCCCCGCTCGCTTGACCGGAACGCTTTGACGTTTAGGCGATCGGCAATTGTCCCAGAAGTACCGGAAGTGAATTTTGCTGATTTCCCTTGTCACTTGAGGTTTTTATCCAACTTTGAAAATTCGCCCCCCATAAGGGCCTGTGCAAAGTTTTTCGTCTGCCCCCTGTAGGTCGCAGGAGAATTTTTTTTCGGATCGGCCGAAGTCGGTTTTTTGTGCAACTTTTCCGTATCCACCCGCCTGTCAAGGAATGGCTCGGGAAAAAAATGAAAATTTTTTTCGCCGAAAATTCTTGGGGGTCAAACCCTTCGGATTTTTTCGAAATTTCACATTTTATTTTTTTGCTCGAAAACGAAGCTTCCAATCGAAAAACGTTATTCTTTGCAAACTCTCGGGCTGGTCGAGCACTATCCACGGGTAGGTTTGCAACGTTCCAGCTGGCAGCGTTTTCGCAAAAATCGCGAAAATGTGGTTTTCAAAAAACTGCAAATATCTCCACAACTAGAAGAGCTGCGAAACATCTAAGCACACTGGGCGCTCGACAGGGTCACGCTCCATAAAAACGTTGGTATTCACTTTTTTGCTGCGATCAATAATAAGCGAGCAATTGCCGATTTTCCAAAATGAAGGAAAAATTTGGGGAAAATTTTCGAAATTTCCCCTGATTTTCCAATGTCAAATTTCCGTCAAATTTTGACATAGGACACCATTAGTGGTCCAAATCAATCGATTTCACTCAAAAAATTATTTACTTTTGCGATAAAAAGTCAATCATATGACCTATGTCGTCACTAGAGTACAGGTTGAAAGGGAAACTTCCGCAGTTTGGGGAAAATTTAAACTTTCAGGGTATCGATCGACTGTATCGATAGTAGGTCGATAATGTACCAAGGTGCTTGTCGTTTGGCAGCTATAAAAAATTGAAAATTTCGTTTACATGGGCTCTTATGGGAAAAAGGCAAAATGTTGACTTTGACCGTCAATTAAAATCCCCCAAAACCATCAGCGGACAACCTCACTATCTGGCTACAAGCCGGTGTCAAAAGTGTCAAAATCCCTTCACAATGGACGCATCCAGAGGCCGTTTATGACATATGGCGAATTCACTTCTCCACATCCTGTCAGTGTCAAGTTTGACAGCAGTTGCCCCGCTGTCAAACCTGACAGATCAAACTGATCGAGACGCTTGGCAACTGTCACAACAAGGCGATTGCCATGGCAACCCAACATGGCTGCGTGTTTCAGGCGATGGCAACGTGAGTTTCGAGGAGTTTTTGGACATGGCGTGGACGGCGGGCGCTGGCACCGACCCCGATCAGGTTCTGTCGCGCGAAGAAGAGGAAAAAGAGCTGCGCGACGCGTTCCGCGTCTTCGACAAGCACAATCGAGGCTACATCACGGCGTCCGACTTGCGGGCGGTGCTTCAGTGCCTCGGCGAGGACCTTTCGGAGGAGGAGAGTGAGTCGGGAACGCAGTCGTTTCAGCGCGGGTTGATTAATCGGGGCGTTTTTCCGCAGTTGAGGACATGATCAAAGAGGTGGACGTCGATGGGGACGGCCGCATTGACTTCTACGGTAGGTAGAGGGCGCTGCGGGCCAAGCCGATGGCTCAGGCGCGTGTTTTTTTGCAGAATTCGTGAACGCCCTCGGGGAGCCGGGCAATGACGACAGCTACGAGGAGGACGACGACGACTACGCAGGCTATTAACCACTTATCGAGCTCCAATTAACTTATTCGCATTCTAACCGGCCCTTTGGCGCACTTTCATCCACATTTCGGGCGTTTTTTCTTCAAAATATTAACGCACACATACATGTATAAATATAGTGATATACAGGAAATGGACGAGTTTCACTCAGTTCAAACTTTTCAAACAGCCCCGGTAATTGGCAGGGTTTTGTTGCCACTGGGCGAGCACAGGTCCCTTAGTGGCGCAGCGTGTGGACAAGTTGGCGGATGCGCCCGACGGAAAACCACAACTTAGCGGTCTTGGCCGTTGGATGGCGCCCGCGCTTTGGCCACTTGAGTGGTCGAAGCCCAAATCAAGAGCGCCTGAGTGCAGTTTGTGCGAAAATTGCCCAAACAGTACACAAAACCCTCAAACTCCACCTACCCAGCAACGGAGTGGGGGCAAATTGGCAAGTTTTTTTCCAAAATTGACGCCATTGAGTTGGCAATTTGCCACTTTCTGGCGCAAAGCGCTTTTTACGGAAAAAACGCCAAAACAGCTCCTGTGCCTGGACGATTTGGCAAATGCGCCCAAAAGGGGAACTTGAAATTTGCGCGGTTTCCTGTCAACGTCGCGCTAGTTGGTTGACAGTTGCAGGCTGGAGAGTCGATGTGTCAACTTCCTGAAGGGCGGCTTCTGTCAAAATCACCAATAAAATGGCCATTAACCTGAAGATTCCCCGCCACTGGCCAATTTGGCGAATGCGCTGCAGCAGCAGGTCGCAATTTGCGAGCCGGTTTAGGGCACTTTTTGGGGCAATTTAGGGGCTTTTTATGGCAAATCAGCTCGTCAACTGAGCCACAAGCTCCGGTTTGGTGACTTTATCGCATCAAAAGCCCCGTCTAGACGCTGAACGATGGCTCTTTTTCAACACCCCCGGTAGTGAGCGGGGTGTCACTGTCAGTGGGCGATGACTTAAGGCCTGACGCCCCCTGATGGTTAAACTGATACCTACAAGTTAGGTAGTAATTTGACACTTGTCCTGTTGACATTGCTGTCACATCTGATTGCGATTTGTTCTGTTTTGCTCTAATCGACTTTTGCTAGCGCATACAAATCGAAACAGATCGAAAAGTGTGTAAACAATGTTTTCTGTTATAAATGTCATCAACTCCAATGACCAGATCAGTCTGAGAAGTGTCAACTGTCACTTGACAACTAGTAATTTGACGGTTGGCCGGAACTACCCTACCGGGAGCAGTCGGAAAATACTTATGGGGCTTTGATTGAAGGGAAGATCGCATGTAAACATACGAAAAGCTTGTCAAGTGGAACAACAAGCAGCCCAATCAATCACCGATCGACGTAGGCGATTAGCCAGGATTTGGCAATCAAGTGGTCGGTTGGTTTTGCGGGGACGGCGGCGCAAAATGGGCCCGAATTCCTCGGGAAATCGGCCGGTTTTGATGGGACGGCTGGCGCGCTTCGCGCCAGCCTCCCCCCAATCGGGCTAATCAATCAAGTGGCCGATTAGAGTTATCAAAACCCCGCGATCCTTCGGATCTTAACGAAATCTTGCAAAATTCCAGCTTTTGCGCCAGTTTCGAATGCAATGTGGGGATTTTTCCGCTCGAAACCAGTGCTCCGATCCAAAATGATGATAATTGGGGCGGTTTGGATGGTGTGGTGGGTGGGCGCGTGTGGCGCCGCCACTCTGCAGCTGACCGAACAAGGTAACGACCCCAAACTCGGTGTTTTCCTGCTGCTGAGCAGTTTTTGGCAGATTTTCCCGAAATCCACTTTATGAACCTGACGGCCGATCCCTGCACGGATTTCTACCAGTTCGCCTGCGGGAACTTCGGAAATCTGCATCCGCTGCGCGATGGACAGGCGCTCATCGACCAGTTCAGCCTGCTGGAGGACGCGCTGGCCGAAACCGTCCAGGGTAAGCAGTTGGCGACTCACCTTTTAACTTACCGAACTTCAACGGCCAGACCTGAGCATTTTTCATGGAGGCGCATCCGCCATGCTGCTCAGAACCCGGACAATTTTCAAGTTTTTTCAGTTGAACTGCGTTCGGTTGGGGGAATTTTGCCCAATTTTGAGCCACCGGGGTCCGTTTTCATTGACCAAAAGCTCCTTCGGCCGCCAGCGGCTCGAGGTGCGCTTTGGCAGAAAACAGGCGCATTCGCCATCGCGACTAGACCGAAGGATTTCGAACCAAAACGGCGAGAAAACAAGACGCGGTGCTCCACTCATCGATTCAATTCACTGTTTCTGCTTTGCATGTTTTCACGTTTCGGCCCAATCTCTGCGATTTTTAAACCGCTTTGGGAGTCTGTGGCGCATTCACCACACTGCCAAGAGCCGAAAAAATTTCTAAAAATTACCAAAAAAATGAGAAACCGGACCCTTGTGCGCCCCTGATGTTGCAATTGGAGCAAAGTGAAGATTGCCGATCGACTTTGGTGGCCAAACCATACAGGGTATGTAGTTTTCCATTAAAGGGTACAGCGGCGCATCCACCAATTCGGCCAGTTCCAAACCGATTTGACGACTTGCTTTGGTCTCCCAAGCAATTTCGGGCCCGGCGTTCCAAAAACGACGGTTTTTAACGGCAGTTTTCGAAAAAATTGCGAAATTTTTTCCGGTTTTCTGCCTCTCGTTTGCTTGCCAAGCCGCTTGCCATTATTTTGACCAAAATCCGTGATGATGCCAGTGAATCGAAACTATCACACGTTGTAGGCCCGACGCTTCTGCTTTTAATGCAAAAAACCCGAAATTTGTAGCATTTCTGGTTGGGATGCAGTTAATTTCTCAATGGTCCATCGCATCCACGCGTATTGGAAGTGAAAATGTGCAAACTTTAAAAATTCCTCCAAAGATCCCTGATGATGGCAGCGAATCGAAACTTTCACACGTTGTAGGCTCGACTCTTCTGCTTTTAACGCAAGAAACTCCAAATTTCCAGCTTTTCTGGTTGGGACGCAATGAATTTTTAAATGGCCCATAGTAACCGCTCGTAATGGAAGCGAAAATGCCCAAATTTTAAAAATTCCTAAAAAAATCCCTGATGACGCCTGGCAATCGAAATCTTCAAAAATTGTAGGCCCGACATTTCTGCTTTTCACGTAAAAAACTCCAAATTTCCAGCTTCTCTGGTTGGAACGCAATTAATTTTTCAATGGCCCGTCGCATCCGCGCGTAATGGAAGTGAAAATCCGCAAATTTTAAAAATCCCTCAAAAAATCCCTGATGATGGCATTGAATCGAAACTTTTACACATTGTAGCAGCGACGCTTCTGCTTTTAAGGCAAGAAACGCCAAATTCCCAGCTTTTCTGGTTGGGACGCAAGGAATTTTTCCATGGCCTATAGCATTCGCGCGTAGTTGAAGCAAAAACCCGCAAAATTTAAAAATTCCTAAAAAAATCCCTGATGATGCCTGCGAATCGAAACTTTCAAATATTGTAGGCCCGACATTTCTGCGTTTAACGTGAAAAAACCCAAAATTGCCAACTTCTCTGGTTGGGACGCGATTAATTTTTCAATGGCCCGTCGCATCCGCGCGCAATTGAAGAATCCGAAAAAATCCCTGATGATGCAAAAAGTCTTTGGCTTGAAAAGCCGACCTTGGCATTATTTCGTCCAAAAAATCTTGAATTTTTCAAATTCGTGCTAAACTTAACGAATATTTTATCGAAATTGGAACACTAGTAGCGCATTCACCATATCGGCAAGAGCCAAAATTGCGAAAAAATGACCAAAAAATTGCAAAAACAACGTGGTGCACCTCTGAGTATCCATTCGGCGCAACCTGGCGGGTCTCGCTTGCGTCTGGTTGCGCAAAACCAGCAGTTACTCGCAAAATTGAGTGAAAAACATGAAGGCGCATCCGCCATTCCGACCAGAAGCCACCAAACCAGCCAATTTTCCCAGTTCTGAACCCAATGGATTGAGTCAGCTTGTAGCTGAGACAACTTGGGGCTTCAGCGCCCTATAGGAGGTCGTTCACAACCGCAATTTTCCACCAGAACTCGAAATTTGGCACACGCGGCGCATTCACCCGATTGCCGTGAAGCCAATCCAAAAGCGCAAAATCGTCGTTAATACTTGGGGCGCATCCACCCAATTGTCCAGCATGGTTGTTTCAGGGCTGCTGTCCGCCCCCATACGAGGGGACGATGCCGCCGTGGTGAAGAAGGCGAAATTTGCCTTCCAGGCCTGCACCGACCGCACCTTCAGCGAGACGATCGGCTTGCGGTCGCCCGAAGTGGAGGTGGTAAACAAGTACGGGGGTTTCCCCATTCTGGGCGGGCGCTACGGGGGGGCCAATCCCGAGCCCAGCTGGAACGAGATCGCCGACATCGCCGCCGAGTTCGGGATCAGCATCTTTTTCACGCCCAGCCTCTATGCGGACGCGCTGAACGCGTCCAGGAACCTGCTCAGGGTAGTTTAGTGCGGATTTCACCTGAACAGAGGGCGTGCATGGATGTGTCTTGCAGATTTCGTCGGACGGGATGGGAATCCCCGTGCAGTTCCGGCCAATGGCGTCCGAGTCGTACGAGGACGCGATTGAGGAGGGGTTCCAGGATATGGTGAAGCAGCCGGCAACGGCGCAGCGCGTGCAAAGCACGCAATCGACCATTCCGGCCATGGAGGTTTTGCTGCGCAAACTCGTGCTGAAACTGAAGCGCGCCATGGGAAGCGAGCGCAGCGACGAGTATCTCTATGGCCGCGTTGCCAACGTTTCCAATTTCCTGAAAGGAATCTACAGCGCAGGCGTACGCCCTTTTTGCTTAGTTAATGTTTTTTTAAGACCCTGCTGATTCCAGTATATCCCGGAAGGCACCGAGATTGGCCCGATCGTCAACGACACGAGCGCCACCGTGGTGACCTTGCGGCAGCTCAACGAGTGGACGGCGCTGCACTTCGGCAACACTGTCCAGGTATGTGCATGTTTGAGAGACCACATGGCGAATGCGCCCGCTATTTGTGCGTAAAAGCAATTTTTCCGGGAGTCTGTTTTTTCGAAAAAATGCCCCGTTTCCAAGATATTCGCAAAATTGCGCTGTTGCAGGCAGGTTTTCGCTTTTTCGAGGCACAAATTATTGAGGGCTTTTTTTCAAGCTTCGCCAGTGAATGACGCTGTCGAGGGGCGATTTTTTCGCAAGTGCAGGTTTTTTCGAAAAAGTGCCCTGTTTTCAAGATATTCGTAAAAATGCGCTGTTGCAGGCAGTTTTTTGCTTTTTTAGGCACAAATTACTTCGGGATTTTTTTTTATTTTGCCAGTGATTGACGCTGTCGAGGGGCGATTTTTTCGCAAGTGCAGGTTTTTTCGAAAAAATGCCTTGTTTTCAAGATATTCTCAAAAATGCGCTGTTGCAGGCAGTTTTTCGCTTTTTAAGTTACAAATTATTGAGGGATTTTTTTCAAACTTCGCCCGTGATTGACCCTGTCGAGGGGCGATTTACTCGCAAGTGCAGGTTTTTTATTAATATATTCGCAATATTCGCAAAATTGCACTGTTGCAGGCAGTTTTTTGATTTTTTGAGGCACAAATTACTTCGGAATTTTTTTCAAATTTTGCCAGTGATTGACGCTGTCGAACGACAATTTTTTCGCAAGTGCGTGGTTTTTCGAAAAATTGCCCCGTTTTCAAGATATTCGCAAAAATGCGCTGTTGCAGGCAGTTTTTCGCTTTTTTAAGCCACAAATTTTTGAGGGATTTTTTTCAAATTTCGCCAGCCATTGACGCTGTCGAGGGGCGATGATTTCGCAAGTGCAGATTTGTTCGAAAAAATGCCCCGTTTTCAAGATATTCGCAAAACTGCGCTGTTGCAGGCAGGTTTTCGCTTTTTTGAGGCACAAATTACTGCGGAATTTTTTTCAAATTTCGCCAGTGGTTGACGCTGTCGAACGGCAATTTTTTCGCTAGTGCGTGTTTTTTTCAAAAAATGCCCCGTTTGCAAGATATTGGCAAAATTGCGCTGTTGCAGGCAGGTTTTCGCTTTTTTGAGGCACAAATTACTGCGGGATTTTCTTCAAATTTCGCCCGTGATTGACGCTGTCGAGCGGCGATTTTTTCGCAAGTGCGCGTTTTTTCGAAAAATTGCGCTGTTTGCAAGATATTCGCAAAAATGCGCTGTTGCAGGCAAGCTTTCCCAAATATCTCCAAAACCCGAAATGCTGCAAAAATCCCGAGCACGCCACTCGAACGGCCGCCCAAAAATCCCCAAAAAACCCCCTGGCACTTTTGCCGCAAACCGCCCCCTAACCCGCCTATCGACAAATTTCCTCTTCAAACTACCAAAAATCCTCAAAAAAATGGGCTTCTGGCCAATTTGGCGAATGCGCCCCCACTCACTCACTGCAGGCGTGGCCTTCTTGCAGCTGGACTGGGTGGAGTACACGCGCCGCCTCCTCCAATACACACAGGTGGAGGTCGATGCCGATTTCCTCATCCTGCGCCCTCTCGAAATGGAAACGATGCTCTTCGGCATCCTCAACTGGGTGCGCATGAACGACTGGGAGATCGTGAAGAGTGCCGCCCTCTTGCGGGCCTTCACCTACACAGCGGCTGACAGTGACGTGGAAACCCGCAAGGACTTTGAGGACTATCTGGTGCAAACCGGAAAAACCGTCTACCCGCGGTAGGGGGCGCTGCCCCACCAGCTGCGCCTGTTTAACGTCGCTCTTTGCTTGCAGATGGCAGTACTGCGCGCGCAAAATCATGGATACGACTGGCACGCTCTCATTGGCCCTGGCGGTGACGTACGAGTACCAAGCGCGCGTCTTCAACACCACCAGCATGCGCACGGTGAGTGACCAGATTAGGCCCCGCCCCCCGGCGCTTAGCTCTGATTGGTTGCAGGCCGCCGCCCTGGTGGCCAACCTGCGCAGCACCTTCAAGGAGGTGATCGAGGCGGCCAACTGGATGGACGAGGAGTCGAAGGCGGCCGCCCAGACCAAAGCCGACAACATCGCGGTGCTTCTGGGTGAGATTTGAGAAAAAGTGATTTTGAAATTTAGGGCCCAGTGCGGCCCTGTGCGCTTCGCGCGCACCCAAGGTCAGCGCCGCTGACGCAACGACAAACGCGCCCGGCGCCCGCAATGCACCAGACAAAGACCGCGCTAGTCCAGTCGGGCGGCCCCCACCTGCCCGACCCTCTGGGCAACAGGGTCGGCTCCAGATCCAGTTTTAGCGAAAAAGCGAATACCGACCTTTTTTCGGATGCCTGAAGATGGCGATTTTTCGTTTTCGATATTTGCTTCTAAACCCGTCCAGCTAGAGCCTTACGAAAATCCGCATTAAATGCCCGCGGGGCGCCGGCGTTTTCTCCATCGGCCCAATGTATTGGGGCTCAAGGACTTTTCCGAATTTTCCCCAAATTTGGGGAAAAATCCAAAAAATCCCTTGTGCCTCGCTGAGCTTTCACTTTGGCAACATCGCGTATACCAGGTTTTTTATGCGGCTTGGCCCCCTCGATCTAGTGGAGTTCTCGCGGTTTTTCCAGCTCGTTTACTTTCGCAGAAATTTGAATTTTTCCGACAAAACTTGGGACATTTCCTGCCAAACCGGCCGCAAAAATTCCCAGGCTGGTCAAGTGTGCGCTGTTTTCAGTCACCGGAGCGTCAAAAACTGAAACTATCCAAGTGCAGGAAAATTTTTTATTGGAATTTAGGGCCCAGTGCGGCCCTGTGCGCTTCGAGCGTACCCAAGGTCATTGCCGCTGCCGCAACGACAAACGCGCCCGGCGCCCGCAATGCACCAGACAAAGACCGCGCTAGTCAAGTCGGGCCGCCCCACCTGCCCGACCCTCCGGGCAACAGGGCCGGCTTCAGATTCAAAAGGTAGTTTATGTGGTTTTTCCGCAGGGTACCCGGACTTTGCCACTGACGCCGCTGCCTTGGAGGTTTTCTACGAGAATCTGCCCATCGCCAGCTGGGATCATTACGCCAACGCCAAGAAGCTGAGGGCCTTTCAGCTCGCTTATGCGCTGAACATGGTCAGCTACCGGAACCGCACCGCGTAAGTAGCCGTAGCTGAGTGGCGGCAGCTGGTTTGATTCGTTTTTGCAGTTGGGACAAGTCGCCGCTGGATGTCAACGCCTACTACAATCGCCAGAACAACCGGATCGGTGAGTCGCTGAGCTCCCACGTTTTGCCATAACTCTCTTACTAGTTGACAGAGTTTCACTGGGCAAACGCGCTTTTGAAGCCCGGGAAATTGTCTTCAAATTTTGTCTGAAGCATTTTCCGCTTGCGTTACTCGTGTGGCGTCCAGACGCGAATGAAAATTTCCAAACCGCGAGCTTCGGGATTTGCCTCTAACTGCCATCTTTCGCCCATAACTCTCTTACTAGTGGCCGGATTTTCTAACTATTATTACCGCTGGAAAGCTTGAGAAATTGCCTTAAAATGGCTACTGAAGCATTTTCCGCTTGCATTGCTGGTGTGGCGTCCAGACGCCGATGAAAATGGCCAAACCGCGAATCACAAAATTTGCCTCCAACTGCCATCTTTTGCCCATAACTCTCTTAATAGTGGCCCGATGGTCGAACTATTACTACCGTTCAAAAGCTTGGGAAATTCACGTAAAATAACTGCTGAAGCATTTTCCGCTGGCGTTACTAGTGTGGCGCGTAATGGAAGTGAAAATCCGCAAATTTTAAAAATCCCTCAAAAAATCCCTGATGATGGCATTGAATCGAAACTTTCACACATTGTAGCACCGACGCTTCTGCTTTTAAGGCAAGAAACGCTAAATTCCCAGCTTTTCTGGTTGGGACGCAATTAATTTTTCTATGGCCGATAGCATTCGCGCGTAGTTGAAGCAAAAACCCGCATAATTGAAAAATTCCTAAAAAAATCCCTGATGATGCCTGGGAATCGAAACTTTCAAATATTGTAGGCCCGACACTTCTGCGTTTAACGTGAAAAAACTCGAAATTTCCAGCTTCTCTGGTTGGGACGCAATTCATTTTTCAATGGCCCGTCGCATCCGCGCGCAATTGAAGAATCCGAAAAAATCCCTGATGATGCAAAAATCCTTTGGCTTGAAAAACCGACATTGGCATTATTTCGGCCGGCCAAAAAACCCTGAATTTTTCAAATTCTTGCTAAACAACCAACATTTTATCGAAATTGAAACACTAGTAGCGCATTCACCATATCGGCAAGAGCCAAAATTGGGAAAAATGACCAAAAAATTGCAAAAACAACGTGGTGCACCCCTGAGTATGCAATCGGCGCAACCTGGCGGGTCTCGCTTGCGTCCGGTTGCGCAAAACCAGCAGTTACTCGCAAAATTGCCTGAAAAACATGAAGGCGCATCCGCCATTCCAACCAGAAGCCGTAAAAACAACCCAATTTTTCCCAGTTCTGAACCCAATGGATTGAGTCAGCTTGTAGCTGAGACAACTTGGGGCTTCAGCGCCCTATAGGAGGTCGTTCACAACCGCAATTTTCCACCAGAACTCGAAATTTGGCACACGCGGCGCATTCACCCGATTGCCGTGAAGCCAATCCAAAAGCGCAAAATCGTCGTTAATACTTGGGGCGCATCCACCCAATTGTCCAGCATGGTTGTTTCAGGGCTGCTGTCCGCCCCCATACGAGGGGACGATGCCGCCGTGGTGAAGAAGGCGAAATTTGCCTTCCAGGCCTGCACCGACCGCACCTTCAGCGAGACGATCGGCTTGCGGTCGCCCGAAGTGGAGGTGGTAAACAAGTACGGGGGTTTCCCCATTCTGGGCGGGCGCTACGGGGGGGCCAATCCCGAGCCCAGCTGGAACGAGATCGCCGACATCGCCGCCGAGTTCGGGATCAGCATCTTTTTCACGCCCAGCCTCTATGCGGACGCGCTGAACGCGTCCAGGAACCTGCTCAGGGTAGTTTAGTGCGGATTTCACCTGAACAGAGGGCGTGCATGGATGTGTCTTGCAGATTTCGTCGGACGGGATGGGAATCCCCGTGCAGTTCCGGCCAATGGCGTCCGAGTCGTACGAGGACGCGATTGAGGAGGGGTTCCAGGATATGGTGAAGCAGCCGGCAACGGCGCAGCGCGTGCAAAGCACGCAATCGACCATTCCGGCCATGGAGGTTTTGCTGCGCAAACTCGTGCTGAAACTGAAGCGCGCCATGGGAAGCGAGCGCAGCGACGAGTATCTCTATGGCCGCGTTGCCAACGTTTCCAATTTCCTGAAAGGAATCTACAGCGCAGGCGTACGCCCTTTTTGCTTAGTTAATGTTTTTTTAAGACCCTGCTGATTCCAGTATATCCCGGAAGGCACCGAGATTGGCCCGATCGTCAACGACACGAGCGCCACCGTGGTGACCTTGCGGCAGCTCAACGAGTGGACGGCGCTGCACTTCGGCAACACTGTCCAGGTATGTGCATGTTTGAGAGACCACATGGCGAATGCGCCCGCTATTTGTGCGTAAAAGCAATTTTTCCGGGAGTCTGTTTTTTCGAAAAAATGCCCCGTTTCCAAGATATTCGCAAAATTGCGCTGTTGCAGGCAGGTTTTCGCTTTTTCGAGGCACAAATTATTGAGGGCTTTTTTTCAAGCTTCGCCAGTGAATGACGCTGTCGAGGGGCGATTTTTTCGCAAGTGCAGGTTTTTTCGAAAAAGTGCCCTGTTTTCAAGATATTCGTAAAAATGCGCTGTTGCAGGCAGTTTTTTGCTTTTTTAGGCACAAATTACTTCGGGATTTTTTTTTATTTTGCCAGTGATTGACGCTGTCGAGGGGCGATTTTTTCGCAAGTGCAGGTTTTTTCGAAAAAATGCCTTGTTTTCAAGATATTCTCAAAAATGCGCTGTTGCAGGCAGTTTTTCGCTTTTTAAGTTACAAATTATTGAGGGATTTTTTTCAAACTTCGCCCGTGATTGACCCTGTCGAGGGGCGATTTACTCGCAAGTGCAGGTTTTTTATTAATATATTCGCAATATTCGCAAAATTGCACTGTTGCAGGCAGTTTTTTGATTTTTTGAGGCACAAATTACTTCGGAATTTTTTTCAAATTTTGCCAGTGATTGACGCTGTCGAACGACAATTTTTTCGCAAGTGCGTGGTTTTTCGAAAAATTGCCCCGTTTTCAAGATATTCGCAAAAATGCGCTGTTGCAGGCAGTTTTTCGCTTTTTTAAGCCACAAATTTTTGAGGGATTTTTTTCAAATTTCGCCAGCCATTGACGCTGTCGAGGGGCGATGATTTCGCAAGTGCAGATTTGTTCGAAAAAATGCCCCGTTTTCAAGATATTCGCAAAACTGCGCTGTTGCAGGCAGGTTTTCGCTTTTTTGAGGCACAAATTACTGCGGAATTTTTTTCAAATTTCGCCAGTGGTTGACGCTGTCGAACGGCAATTTTTTCGCTAGTGCGTGTTTTTTTCAAAAAATGCCCCGTTTGCAAGATATTGGCAAAATTGCGCTGTTGCAGGCAGGTTTTCGCTTTTTTGAGGCACAAATTACTGCGGGATTTTCTTCAAATTTCGCCCGTGATTGACGCTGTCGAGCGGCGATTTTTTCGCAAGTGCGCGTTTTTTCGAAAAATTGCGCTGTTTGCAAGATATTCGCAAAAATGCGCTGTTGCAGGCAAGCTTTCCCAAATATCTCCAAAACCCGAAATGCTGCAAAAATCCCGAGCACGCCACTCGAACGGCCGCCCAAAAATCCCCAAAAAACCCCCTGGCACTTTTGCCGCAAACCGCCCCCTAACCCGCCTATCGACAAATTTCCTCTTCAAACTACCAAAAATCCTCAAAAAAATGGGCTTCTGGCCAATTTGGCGAATGCGCCCCCACTCACTCACTGCAGGCGTGGCCTTCTTGCAGCTGGACTGGGTGGAGTACACGCGCCGCCTCCTCCAATACACACAGGTGGAGGTCGATGCCGATTTCCTCATCCTGCGCCCTCTCGAAATGGAAACGATGCTCTTCGGCATCCTCAACTGGGTGCGCATGAACGACTGGGAGATCGTGAAGAGTGCCGCCCTCTTGCGGGCCTTCACCTACACAGCGGCTGACAGTGACGTGGAAACCCGCAAGGACTTTGAGGACTATCTGGTGCAAACCGGAAAAACCGTCTACCCGCGGTAGGGGGCGCTGCCCCACCAGCTGCGCCTGTTTAACGTCGCTCTTTGCTTGCAGATGGCAGTACTGCGCGCGCAAAATCATGGATACGACTGGCACGCTCTCATTGGCCCTGGCGGTGACGTACGAGTACCAAGCGCGCGTCTTCAACACCACCAGCATGCGCACGGTGAGTGACCAGATTAGGCCCCGCCCCCCGGCGCTTAGCTCTGATTGGTTGCAGGCCGCCGCCCTGGTGGCCAACCTGCGCAGCACCTTCAAGGAGGTGATCGAGGCGGCCAACTGGATGGACGAGGAGTCGAAGGCGGCCGCCCAGACCAAAGCCGACAACATCGCGGTGCTTCTGGGTGAGATTTGAGAAAAAGTGATTTTGAAATTTAGGGCCCAGTGCGGCCCTGTGCGCTTCGCGCGCACCCAAGGTCAGCGCCGCTGACGCAACGACAAACGCGCCCGGCGCCCGCAATGCACCAGACAAAGACCGCGCTAGTCCAGTCGGGCGGCCCCCACCTGCCCGACCCTCTGGGCAACAGGGTCGGCTCCAGATCCAGTTTTAGCGAAAAAGCGAATACCGACCTTTTTTCGGATGCCTGAAGATGGCGATTTTTCGTTTTCGATATTTGCTTCTAAACCCGTCCAGCTAGAGCCTTACGAAAATCCGCATTAAATGCCCGCGGGGCGCCGGCGTTTTCTCCATCGGCCCAATGTATTGGGGCTCAAGGACTTTTCCGAATTTTCCCCAAATTTGGGGAAAAATCCAAAAAATCCCTTGTGCCTCGCTGAGCTTTCACTTTGGCAACATCGCGTATACCAGGTTTTTTATGCGGCTTGGCCCCCTCGATCTAGTGGAGTTCTCGCGGTTTTTCCAGCTCGTTTACTTTCGCAGAAATTTGAATTTTTCCGACAAAACTTGGGACATTTCCTGCCAAACCGGCCGCAAAAATTCCCAGGCTGGTCAAGTGTGCGCTGTTTTCAGTCACCGGAGCGTCAAAAACTGAAACTATCCAAGTGCAGGAAAATTTTTTATTGGAATTTAGGGCCCAGTGCGGCCCTGTGCGCTTCGAGCGTACCCAAGGTCATTGCCGCTGCCGCAACGACAAACGCGCCCGGCGCCCGCAATGCACCAGACAAAGACCGCGCTAGTCAAGTCGGGCCGCCCCACCTGCCCGACCCTCCGGGCAACAGGGCCGGCTTCAGATTCAAAAGGTAGTTTATGTGGTTTTTCCGCAGGGTACCCGGACTTTGCCACTGACGCCGCTGCCTTGGAGGTTTTCTACGAGAATCTGCCCATCGCCAGCTGGGATCATTACGCCAACGCCAAGAAGCTGAGGGCCTTTCAGCTCGCTTATGCGCTGAACATGGTCAGCTACCGGAACCGCACCGCGTAAGTAGCCGTAGCTGAGTGGCGGCAGCTGGTTTGATTCGTTTTTGCAGTTGGGACAAGTCGCCGCTGGATGTCAACGCCTACTACAATCGCCAGAACAACCGGATCGGTGAGTCGCTGAGCTCCCACGTTTTGCCATAACTCTCTTACTAGTTGACAGAGTTTCACTGGGCAAACGCTGTTTTGAAGCCCGGGAAATTGTCTTCAAATTTTGTCTGAAGCATTTTCTGGTTGCGTTTATGGTGTGGCGTCCAAACGCGAATGAAAATTCCCAAACCGCGAGTCTCGGGATTTGCCTTTAACTTCCATCTTTTGCCCATAACTCTCTTAGTAGAGGACGGATTTTCGAAATTGAAACACTAGTCGCGCATTCACCATATCGGCAAGAGCCAAAATTGCGAAAAAATGACCAAAAAATTGCAAAAACAAAGTGGTGCACCCCTGAGTATGCAATCGGCGCAACCTGGCGGGTCTCGCTTGCGTCCGGTTGCGCAAAACCAGCAGTTACTCCCAAAATTGCCTGAAAAACATGAAGGCGCATCCGCCATTCCGACCAGAAGCCGCAAAACCAGCCAATTTTTCCCAGTTCTGAACCCAATGGATTGAGTCAACTTGTAGCTGAGACAACTTGGGGCTTCAGCGCCCTATAGGAGGTCGTTCACAACCGCAATTTTCCACCAGAACTCGAAATTTGGGACACGAGGCGCATTCACCCAATTGCCGTGAAGCCAATCCAAAAGCGCAAAATCGTCGTTAATACTTACGGCGCATCCACCCAATTGTCCAGCCTGGTTGTTTCAGGGCTGCTGTCCGCCCCCATACGAGGGGACGATGCCGCCGTGGTGAAGAAGGCGAAGTTTGCCTTCCAGGCCTGCACCTTGCGTTGCTGGTGTGGCGTCCAGACGCCGATGAAAATTGCCAAACCGCGAATCACAAAATTTGCCTCCAACTGCCATCTTTTGCCCATAACTCTCTTAATAGTGGCCCGATGGTCTAACTATTACTACCGTTGAAAAGCTTGGGAAATTCATGTAAAATAACTGCTGGAGCATTTTCCGCTTGCGGTACTGGTGTGGAGTGCAGACGCGAATGAAAATTGCCAAACCGCGAATCACAATATTTGCCTCCAACTGCCATCTTTTGCCCATAACTCTCTTAGTAGAAGACCGATTTTCAGACACTAACCACTGTGTTGAAGCCGGCAAAATTCTCTTCAAATCGCTCCTGAAGCATTTTCCGCTTGCGTTGCTGGTGTGGCGTCCAGACGCCGCTGAAAATTGCCAAACCGCAAATCACAAAATTTGCCTCCAACTGCCATCTTTCGCCCATAACTCGCTTAATAGTGGCCCGATCGTCAAGCCCCCAAAACCGCGTTGAAGCCCGGAAAATTTCCGTCAAATTCCGTCTGAAGCATTTTCCAGTCGCGCCCACGGTTTAGGGCGCAGCCCACTCGGACTGAACCGACCAATTTGTTCCAGTTTTCCCGGTTGCGATGCTCAACCCGCTCTTTTTCCAGGGCAGCTCCAGGTGAGTAATTTCTTTGAGCTTTTCCCGAGTTTCCCCGGTTTCCCTCACAGCCTTCTAGACTACAGCCGCATCGGGACGGTGATCGGCCACGAAATCACCCACGGGTTCGACGGCCAGGGCTTCCTCTACAACGCCCAGGGGGTGATCGAGCGCTGGTGGACCGACCAGACGCTCGAGAACTTCTCGGACAACACCCAGTGCTTCATTGATCAGTACTCCCAGTACCCCATCCCGGAAATTAACGATACTGTAAGCATGCGAACGCGACCTGGTCGATTTGGCGAATGCGCCACTATGGAGGGGGCATTCGCCATTTGGTCCACACTAGTATGAAGTGGTTAATCTGGTGGTTTGCCTGAGCAGCTGAGCGGCAGCGGGAGCCTGAACGAGAACCTGGCCGACAATGGGGGGCTGCGCACCGCGCTCCAGGCCTTTCAGAAGCTGAGAGCGCTGGATGCCGACAGCTACAAGCTCCCGACTGGGCAGGAGCTGGGCGCTGCCCAGCTCTTTTTCATCGGCTACGGCACTGTAAGCCCCCGAAGGGCAGTTGGTTGGTTGGTTGGGGTTTCTTAACAAACCTCCGGTGTTCCAGATGTGGTGCAACTCCGAGTCGATTTCCTACCTGAAGTCAGTGGTGGCCAGCTGCGAGAGCACGACGAGCTGCCACGCACGAGCCAGCATGCGAGTGAACGGCGTCGTCTCCAATATGGAGGAGTTTGCTGCGGCGTTCCAGTGCCCCGTGGGCGCGCCCATGAATCCCGCAACCAAATGCCGACTTTGGTAGCATGTCGGTTAAATATAATTCTTTTGTGTTGTGACAGTGTCATTAAAATCGTTCTTTAAACCCCGCTTGGAGCGAAAAGTGTTTTAACCCGATGGACGTTTTGGCGAATGCGCCTTTAGGAGAAGAGCGAAAATTGCGATGTTTGCCCCAAACCCCAGCCAGTGCTGGCACTACGCCACACGGCGAAGGTGGTGAGGGCGCTTGGCCTGCAAAATGCGCAAGCAATCGAAGGGAAGTGCCAGATTTGCTTTTAAAGGATGCTAGAATTTGGTCGATTTGGCGAATGCGGCCTCCAACACATTTTTAGCTGGATTTTGCTGCTCGTAGGCCACTTAGGTTTCCCTAATGCTGTCCAACAGAATCCATTGGTCTTAAAATTAAGCCAATTTCGGTTGAAAAGGGTTTGAATAAGCATGGGGTTTAAATGGGAAACTTTTCCCCTGGACACGTGACCGAATCGGTTTCTCATAGAGTCGATTCGCGTTAGCCTCAGGGCTAATTGAGGTGAATTTGAACGAATTCCATTGCTATTTGACGCTTTTGGTCAGTTTTGAAAGTTTTCCCCCCATAAGGGCCTGYACRAAATTTTTCGTCTTCCCCCTGTAGCTCACAGGGGAATTTTTTTCCGGACCAACCAAAGTCGGTTTTTYGTGCAACTTTTCCATACCCACCCGCCTGTCAAGGAATGGTTCGAARAAAAAATTAAAAATTTTTTCGCCGAAAATTCCAGGGGGTCAAACCCTTTGGATTTTWTCGAAATTTCACATTTTAYTTTTTTCCTCGAAAACGAAGCKTCCAATCGWARAATGTTATTCTTTGCAAAATCTCGGGCTGATCGAGCRCTATCSCYGGGTAATTTGGCAACRTTCCMGCTTGCACCGTTTTCAAGRAAATCGMGAAAATGTGGTTTTCAAAAAACTGCAAATATCTCSACAACTAGAAGAGCTGCAAAACAACTAAGCACWSTGGGCGRTAGASAGRGTCAAGTKCCATAAAAAAGTTCGTATTCACTTTTTTGCTGCGAGCAATAATAAGCGAGCAATTGCCGATTTTCCAAAATCARGGAAAATTTTTGGGAAAATTTTCGAAATTTCCCCTAATTTTCCCATGTCAAATTTCCGTCAAATTTTTACATAGGRCSCCGTTAGTGGTCCAAAGCAATCGATKACGCTCACAAAWWTATTAATTTTTTGGAAAAAAATCATCCTCAGGTATAGCACCTATGACGCCATGGAGGTGCAGGTTAAAGGGGAAACTTCYACAGTTTKGRGAAAATTMAAACTTTCAGAGTGTCGATCSACTCTATCGATAGTRGGTCGATAATGTACCAAAGCACGTCGGAATGGTTCTTTTCGTTTGGCAGCTATAAAAAATTGAAAATTTCGTTTACATGGGCTCTTATGGGAATGAGATTTGAATTTGGCGATTTGATGGTGAAAACCTTCGAATAATGTTAAATTGTTTGACAGCTTTCCTAATATCGTTCAATAGAAGCCATTGCCATAAAAATTAGTCAAGATTTTTCGAATTTTTTTGTTCATAAAAATGATTTAATTTAGCATGGGGTTAAATGGGAAACTTTTTTCCTTTTCACTTGACCGACGCGATTTTGCCTAAAATTGATTCGTATTTGTCTCAGTACTAATTGGGGTGAATTTCAACCAATTCTATGGGTATTTGAGGCATTTATTCGGTTTTGAAAATTTGCCCCCCATAAGGGCCTGTACAAAATTTGTCGTCTTCTCCCTGTAGCTCACAGGAGAAAATTTTTTCGAAACCACTAAAGTCGATTTGTCATGCAACTTTTCCATCTCTACCTGCCTGTAAAAGAATGGTTCGCATAAAAAAATAAAAAAAATGTTGCCGAAAATTTCAGAGGGTCAAAACCCTATGCCTTTTTCCGAAATTTCACATACAATTTTTTTTCTCAAAAACGAAGCTTCGGATCGAAAAATGTTACTCTTGGTAAAATCTCCGGCTGGTCGAGTGCTATCCTGGCGAATTTTGGCAGCGTCCCAGCTTGCGCAGGTTTCGAGAAAATCGCGAAAATATAGTTTTCGAAAAACTGAAAATATCTGCAAAACTAGACAAGTTGCACTAAATCTACTCACTCCACTCGATAGACCGTGGCAAGGTCCATAAAACAGCTGGTTATCACTTTTCCGCTAGAACCAACAATACGCGAGCAATTGCCGATTTTCCAAAATCGGTCAAAATTTTTGGAAAAATTTTCCAAATTTTTCCCAATTTTGCCATGTCACATTTTTGTCAAATTTCGCCTTGGGAGGCGTTTACTGGTCCAAAGCAATCGATTACACCCAAAAAATTGTTTATTTTTCGAAACAAAAAAAATCCAATATTTTCGGTGTATTCCTTTCGGCACTGGCCTGATGGGAAAAGTTGAAAATTGGTTCACTGCCGAGTGATTTCCGGCACTCACACAAAACCACAAAATCAACATTGGAGGAAAATCCTGACCGTTTTGGCCTTTCCAGTGTTAATTTCCAAGTTTTTTCTCACAAAACCATCAAAACCCGTCCAGGAGCGCCACTGGCTGAACCACCTAAGGGCGCCGTCACACGCCAGTAAAGTTCCACAAACAACCAATCAAGAATTATCACAAACACTCAACGATTTTAGGTCGTTTTGCCCTATAATGTCCCGATTGCCGCCAGTTTGGCGAATGCGCCCGCACCCGAATCCACCCAACGGTGGTTTTTACCTCAATCAATTGCATAGATCACCCTGGAAGGCCATCAAAAAGAGCACTTCTGCGGGAAATCAAAAACGCCCCCCACGGTTGCGATTTAATTTGGGTTTTCAATGGCAATTTGCCAGGTTTTTTACCAAAAACCGCTTTGGAGACGCCACTGGCGTCGCCGTTGAAGGGAGTTTGCTCACGCCGTTCATCCCTAACGTGGCTGGGCAGGAAAATAGTCAAAAATGTGAGTTTCCCTCTAAATGATGGGTGGTTTGTGGCCAAACTGGCGAATGCGCCCACACGGGACGACGGGGGGATTTTAGCGTTTTCTCGGGGCAATTTTGGCAAAAGCCGTAGAGGCCCAGTGGTGGAAGCCTTCGGGGAGTTTTGCTACGCAAAACCCTGCCAACCTGGGCAGGGAGGGCGGCAAATGTGGCTCCAGACGGCGCGGAGCTGCACAATTTGGCGAATGCGCCTAGGCGCAAACCAACTCGACGCCGTTGCATCGACATTCTAATCAGAAGACAACGCAAAATCGGCAGCCTCTGATTGGACGAGTGGAGCGCAGTGGTTCCGGGAACCCGCCGATCGCTGATTAGACGGGCATTATTGTGTCGAGCGCGTAGCGAACCGCAGTGAAAATCGCCGATTTTTCGCCACGCTATTGGCCAGAGCGAACGAACCCCAATCCGCCAGACCCGCCAATCAGAGTGCGTTTTTTCCGGGTGCGGAATGGTGAGCCACTTGCCGGCGCAGCAGGGTAAGTCGCTCTCCTCCACACCCTCTGGTGCAGTCGGGCCCGGCCCGAATGGCTGCGTTTACACCCGCCCGACTACGCCAATGACCCGCGCTATCTCCGTCTATGGCCTTTTTGACCCTCGAGCGCGATAAAACACGCTCTCGATGAGCACAAAATTGCCAGTTTTGCACGAAACTACCACCAATTGGGCCACGTTTCGTCCACCAGGGTCTGATGATGGATGGGCTGCGATCACCAGTGGACCACCGTCAGCGATTATCTACAATTATTAGCAGTAAAGTGCTAATTTATGGTTATTGAAAAGCGAAATTTACCTGCAACCTTCCAGCCGTTGCTCACGTAACCAGTTACCGCATGTTTCTGGGTTAATTTATGCTAATGGGCGGCCGCAGGCTGAAAAATGGGGTTTTCCGGGTGTTTGGCTTCCATCGCCCGACCGGTTTTGGCAGGTTTTTGCGTGTTTTTGCCATCATTAAGCCGCATTTGGCGCTGACGCTTCACTGTGCTGGCGCACCGAGCTTGTGTCGCCCATAACTCATTGGCGCATGGGCGCATTCCAAAAATTTAAACTGCACCCCAGAGCCCTTTAGACGCTCTCCAGTTTTGCTGCCCACAATTTTTCTGTCCCCCCACCCATAAGGGCGCAATAAGGCAAATAACAGGGACGCCCTTGGCTGTTGACTCATCAACCTTCAGTGGCGCACAGCGCGTTGACTACAGGGCCGATCTGAAAAGTGAAGACGCTGCCCGACAGCCCATCGAATTGGCCCTCGTTCTGGCCGGCGCAACTTCCCCATTCGATCAACCAGGGGGCGCTGTGTGCAAAATGACAATGACGCCCTTTCGCACTTGGCGCAGCAACTTTCCCCCGCCCATAACTCCCACATTTATCGGTGGTTTGCCAAAGTGGGACCGCCATCAAAGAGCCCTGGGGATCCTCTGCAGCTTCTATGGGACCCATTTTTCGCCCCCCCCCC